CAGGTGATAATCTTCATATGTCATTTACTGAGCTTCAACAATAGGAAATGATTCATTTTTTTAATCTGAGGGGAAGATTCAATGCTTGATCTCAATTTTAGCTTTGATCTTTTGGTACAGGTCCGGTTTGGGATTGTAAGCCACTCGAAGAAAGCAAATTTCGGGATGCATTGTCAGAAAATTACTTTCCAGCCAAAAGAAATCCCCCTTGGGGCTATAGGAAAAACAGGTCTGGCCTTTTATATATTGGGCTCATTTAGAATAACTTATAAGTAGCTTTTTGAATATGAGGTAAATATATGAGAAAAATTTTATCTCGACTTATATAAAACGTGCTTATAAGTGTTTTCAATCGGTATTCCAAGCGTGTCCATTACCAGCATTAAGTGCATATCTTCTTCGGATTCTTGGCCTAATAATGTCTTGGACTCCGGGGGAGCAACTAATGTAATGGGCTCAGGAAGTTAATAGTGTGTTGGTCCGGTCCAATAAATTGGCTTTGTCTATAATCCATCTTCTGACTTCTATTCTCTGGAGCCTGCAAAAGATAAGAAAGAAAAAGAAATATATCTTCTAAACAAATTTCATAATTCTGAATGAATACAAATTTGATTTAATCTCAACAAATTCCCTTTCGGTCGGTTTTATTGGGTTTGGGAAAGGAGACACTCTTCACCATTTAGAACTAACATAACATTGTATTTATTTATTTTGCCGCAAAAAGCATCAAATTGAATTCTTTTTGACGTGATTTATAAATAGCATGATTTTCTACAGATTTTTATATTTCATATTGATTATTAAAAAACATATATTTTCCCAAAAAATTAATGGTATGGCTATTTTATTTTTAATCACTTGTCATGTTTCGTTCCTTTTCATTGTGCATGGAATGGAAGAATCAATGTGAAGACTTTAGCTCTCCGGTCTCTTTCTTAAAATTAAATGGAACATTGGGAGTGTCTAATTTTAAGACGCATGAAAAAAAAAAAAGGCTATAAAATGAGACAGCTGTGTGGTTTCTTAGGACTTAGGAGCGATTTGTTGGCCGAGGATTTTATGTGCAGATTACAAAGGCAAAAAGAAGAGGACAGCACTGGGTGGGGGATGATTGGATGGGCTGTATAAAAAAAGTTGTAACCTTTCAATATATTGGTTTCTTCGTTGTGGAGATGTTTGGTAATATAAAAAAAAAAAACTTTTAAAAAGCTTTTTCTTTGGTAAAATGAGTAGACTCGTTTTTATCTTTATTTCGTATGTTATAAAAATATTTTTAAAACTATAGTTTGGTTTCCATCCAAATACCTCCGTAGTTAAGAATAGAACTTGTGCCCGGTAACAACGTCTTAATCAAGCCAATCAAGTGCTATATGACTTGTTGATGATAATGGTGGCAATAAGATGAGTCTGGTTTTAGTGGCAATAATTAAAAAAAAAAGTAAATAGCAAGGGTGTGTTTGGCATCAAAAAAATAGAGGAAGGGGAAAAAAATAGGGTTAAAAATTCTTAATTATTTTTTCTCCCCTCTTTTCCTAATCTTATATCTTCTCCTTATAAAATCATATAAGTTATATATTTTTTTTAAATTTTTTGAATCAAGCTTATTAAAAAATTTTCTCTCCTCCAACTGTTAGGGAAAATCATCTAGACTAGTATTGATATTTGGTTTAAGTCCGCATGAATATTAAAAAAAGAAAAGAAAAGAAAAGTTTTCAAGATCACTCGCATTTAGATTGGACATTCTCTCAGTCCAAAAGAAAAAAAAAAGATTGGACATTCTCAAATCTCGTTTGATGGCGTTAGATTTCTGTCCAACATTAAAACTTTTGAGGACCGGCACACGTTTGAGGGGAAAAAAGGATAATGAAACACATATTGACACGTAACCAATCCTGTTCAAATGCCATCCAGATAGTTTTTTGTCAAAGATTTGACTAGTCAGTCCAGATTAACATTGCCTCGTAAAAATTAGCTTTAGATTGGAATTTCACAGGACGTTATGTGCCCTCGAGAAAATAATTCAAGGTGTTAGTTGTAACTTGACCCATAAGAATGCTCATTTTCAACAAAAGTATTGGTTTGAGTATTGCTGGCAATTGCTCTGCTAATAACTATTTTTATCTCATAAGAGGCGCAAAAAGCATACCTTAACACTTAAGAAAGGAATTTATCAAAAGCAAAACATTTAAATCAATAACATATTATGTGGTTACTACCTCCGCTTCTTAATATAAGAACTAATTAACTAATTTGAATAGATTAAAGAAGTCTGTTAACTTATTTATTTGTAATAAACAGGTGCTATTTTTCTTAAAATATTTTTACTAATTATATGTATTATTTAGAATTACCATTTGATAGAATTCTTAATATATGTAGCTGCTATAAAGATTATTTTTAAAAAAAGATTAAATATAAGAAACAAAGTTAATTAAAATTTTATATTTAGAATTAAATTGAAAGTTAAACTAATTTTTATAATCTTATATTAAGGACAATAGGTAGTAATACAGCGATTTACTCGTAAGTATCAACATTTTCAACAAATTTGTTGGGGTTTTGACCTGAACGGGCTTTGTTTTCCCCCCAGTAACGGAAATGCTTTCAAATTAAGGACCTTCAATTAATCTATACAACAATTAAGTAAAATGCACGTGAACGAAGAAATTTCTTAATGCAAGGATCGGAACACATCTTTTAGCCAAGTTAACACAAAAATGATGGAAATTAATAATCATTGAAATTTTAAATTCTAATTTTTATAATCCAAATCATGAAGTCTAGAACTAACATAACATTATATTTATTAATTTTGCCGCAAAAAGCATCAAATTGAATTCTTTTTTTTTTAGATGATTTATAAATAGCATGATTTTCTATAGATTTTATTTTGTATATCGATTATTAAAAAGCATTTTTTCCCAAAAAATTAATGGTATGGCTATTTTATTTTTAATCACCTGTCATGTCTGTTTCTTTTCATTGTGCATGGAATGGAAGAATCAATGTGAAGATTTTAGCTCTCTGGTCTTTTTCTTAAAATTAAATGTAACATTGCGCATGTCTTATTTTTAATACTTAAGAAAGGAACTTACCAAGAGCAAAATATTTAAATCAATAATATCTTTTTTGGTAAACAAATAGTACAATAATTTTACCCGTAAGCATCAACATTTTCAACTAAGTTGTTGGTGTTTTGACCTGAACGGGCTTTGTTTTCCCCCCAGTAACAGAAATTCTTTCAAATTAAGGACCTTCAATTAATCTACACAACAATTAAGTAAAATGCACGTGAACGAAGAAATTTCTTAATGCAAGGAACACATCTTTAGCCAAGTTAACAAAAAAAAAATGATGGAAATTAATAATTATTGAAATATGAGATTCTAATCTTTAAAAAAAAATGGCAAAAAAAAGATCGTCAAAATAGAGAAATTACAAATATGGACCTATGACAATATTAGTATAAATTTTGAGAATAATTTTTATAAACCAGTTCCTGGGTGTAATTTTTTTATTTTGACAGTTTTTTGTGACTTTTCATTTTTATAATCCAAATCATGAAGTCTAGAATAAAATAAGTTGGAAAAAAACAGAAGAGGGAGATTTTTTAAAAAATTAATAGCTGCCATGCAATAACTGGTAATAACAAGAAGTCAAAAAGGAAGATGCTAATCATCGCTCACTATGATTGCTTCATAAATCTTCCCGCTTTCTTCTTCACACTGTTGTTGTTATTATTGTTGTTGTCGTTTCAATGAAAAGTCAATCTTGTTTCATACACAAACATTCCAAGGCAAAAATAGAGATTTCGAAAACCAAACAAGAAACTTAGCAAATGTTCCGATTTGCTGACACTGTCTTCTTTTATTTATCTCTTACCAAAGCACCAACTAACAGTTGCTCTCAATTATAGGAATGAATCATGCATAACTAGATGAGTAATCATTTTATTTTGTAAATTAGTAAAATATTATATTATATTTTACTTTGTTTTTGTTTGAAATATTTTCAATCAATATATATAAAATATGTGAAAAACTGTGTCTAGTAAATATTTTTTTTTTGAAAACACACCACAAAAAGATTTAAAAACATTAAAAAGTGACTTTATTTTTCACAAAATTACTGATATTTAATAATTTAATACAATTGGTTTAGAATGTTGATCCAATAAGAGATAGCTTCTTTAACTTGATTTTTTATCTGAATAATTTGAAACTTTTTTTTTGGGGCAATCATTTGAACCTAAACTATATCGAGGGTAGATTTAGTTTCGTTTACTCTTTTTATAATACATAATTTTACTTTTATATCACATCAATTTTCACTTGCTGGCAAAAAAAAAGGAATTCACTTCCAAAATTTCCATCATAAATAAGTCAAGAAAATTCCTTGGATGGAATGGGAGTAAAATAATGAAGATATTGTTGTTTTATATGAAACAAACAAAATACCATAATGTTATTCTTATTATTTTTTGTTCATTTTTAATTGTTAGCCGTTAATAGGAAACAACTAGAGCAAACAAATACTATCTTCGGTTTTAATATAAAGTTAACTTGATTTTTAATTTGATTCTAAATATAAGATCCTAATTCATTTTGTTTCTAATATTTATTTATTTTTTCTCAAATAATTCATATAATAATTACATATATTAAAGAGTTACTACTAATCTGTAATTCAAACACATATGATTAATAAAAATATTTTAAAAAAGATAATAGTATTTTTATAAATAATCAACTTAATTATTTTTTAATTTTTTCAAATGATTAATTAGATAGTTTTTTTTAACATGAACTAATGCATACAAATTTAATATATATGACGGCCAAAAATTAAGAGACAAAACGGGAATATTGTTCACCTTTTGACTATCATTATTGATTTCTTGTTATATATTGGGTCCACTTAGCGCCCTTTTTGTAAATATGCTGAACACTGGGGGTTTTATTTTGGCGCGTTTTCTCCCGCTCTCACCAGTCATGGTTATGGCTTGAAACACTTTCTCTTCTGCTAAACCCTAACCGGTGCTCCATTTTGCGGAGCCTTTCGGTGACAGAGCTTTTTTGAAAAAAATTTCAACTGTCGTCTTGGGATTTTCAAACACTTTCGGACTCTTTGTTTATTGGGTAGTCTTCGTTTCGTTTCATATAGCTAAAATCTGTATTTGTAGTTTCATACACTGAAGTTTTTGCTCTGGTCGAGACTGGCTTTACCCTGGAGTTTGATTTTGTTGGAGCTTAAAATCTACATTGCAGCTGAAACTAAGCAGGTCCGATTCGCATTGAAGCTTGATTTCCAGTTCATCTTGCTTTTCAGCTTTTTGGTCATTTTAGTTGCCAAAATATATGGAAGCACAGGTATCAGATAGGGGTTTTGAAGCTGAAGTTTTTCAAACTGAATTGAATTCCACTTCTATGATTTTGGAAGCGAACACTGTACAAGCCTGAAGGTGCTGGATTTGAATACTTTCTTTTTCTTTTTTAACAATTTTTTATCTGCAATCAAATATATCATTTCCTTCCAATCGGCTTTTGATACTTTGGAATTATATACTATTGTTAATGAATCGTGTGCTGATTTAATAATACAATTCTATTTCCTCGTCTAACTTTTTTGGGAAGTCAATGAAATTTTCTTGTTTTTCTTGTTCTTGCAGCTTTTTGGGTTTCACCTTATACATTGAATGGCCCCAAACTGCTGATAGCGATACTCGTCTACTAAGGAGCAACTGAAAATGGAGGGCTCAACTGGCGTGGATGTAAGTGAGCGGACTAGTGACAGCGGTGAGGGAAATGAGAGGCTGGGTGATTGTATAGTTGAGGAAATGGAATCCCTTCTGGTAGACATCGACGAACGGCTCACTATCTCTAGGATGGTGAGCGACTCTGTCATAAAAGGCATGATTAATGCAGTTGAGCAAGAGGCAGCTGAGAAAATTTCCCAGACAGAAATGGAGTTGGTTGGACTTAAGGAAAAACTACACAGTTATCATGTTGGTGCAGATGCAACTATAAATCATCACGTATCTGATACTATTGTAAATCACAATGGACCGCTAGAGTCTGTTGAGAGCATTCAACTTGTAGTTAATGGGCTGTTGAAGCAGCTTAAGAAGGAAAATGATAAAATTGGAGGGAATAATTCCTTCAGAAGAATTAGTTCAGGCTCTCAGTTAGTAGGATTAAGTGGTATTCTGCATGAGGAGGTTCCAGAAAGATGGATTTATGTTGATAGAGCCATTGAAAATCTAACCGCTACTCTTGAAACCTTCTACCAAAAGATAGAAGTAATAACTCAGTCATCAAAGGCATCCCTTTCTGAGTGGCAGCAGGAGCAGGAGTTCCGGTCAGAAATTGAAGAGATGGTGATCAGCAATTGTATCCGGAGTTTGCAGGGAGAGTTTGAACAGACATTATGGGATCAAAATGCTCAAATTTGTAACTCTGAGAATGGAAATTGGTTTCACAAACTTGAAGAGATCTCAAGTCTACGGCAGGAATTGGAGGTACTTTCCAAAGCACTATCTGTCTCAGAAACTGGGCTGCTTCTCTCTCATGGATCCCTGGAGAATGGTGACGAATGTTGTGATCATAAGATTGGTGGCCATTTCCACAGGAAGCTTTCAACTAATCAACAATCACATTCAATTGGGGATGAAAATGGCAAACATGAGGACTCAAACAAGCCTGACAATCTAGACTCTGCTTTGCTAAATCACATGTCTACCGATGAATTGATCAGTCATTATGATTCCAAGATAATTGAGATGAAAAGAAACCATGAGTCTGAAGTCCAAGAGATTACTGAAGAGAATTTCCGTCTCAGGGGGAAACTTTATAGAGAAAGAGGTTCTTCATCACCATTGAAGAAGGATAAGGAGTTAGAGATATTGAGGAAAAAAATTCCTGATTTCATTGCAAAATTGGATGCAGTTTTTGTTGGAAATGAGAAACTGCACCCACTCGGTGAAAAAATTGAGTCTGTCAACAGTTTAAAGGCTAGGCTGGAGTTACTACATACTGAAAATCACCAACTGCAGGACACACTTGTGGATAAGGAAGAGGAAATTAGATGTCTTTCATCACAGCTTTCAGATGCTGTGGAGAAATTGTCTCAAGAACAATTGACTCAAAAGGACTTGGTACATACTATCCATAAGCTTGAGGGTGATATGGGAGATGCGCATGCTGAGGTTGCGGTTATTCAAGACATATATAAAAGTGTTCTAGAAGAGATTACGAGTGAATTTAGAAGCATTGCTGAAGAATCACATCTCAAGCAAACCATCATGGCTGAAGTGTTAGAAGTGGTATTCAAAGAAGCTGCTCATGATGCTCAACCTTCCAGCAGATTGGAATTTGAGGATGCGGAAATGGAGTCTATTATCATTCAAGGGCTGTTGGACCTAATATTTAAAGAAGCTCTACTGGATGCTAACAAAGAATCCCAAGAATATGAAGCTGCAGAAATGAGGAAACTTGAGCAAGAGATACTCAGGCTCACGTCAATAGTGGAGGAAAAGACTTTGGTAGAACAGGAAGCAGCAGAGGCATTGATATGTGAGAAGAAAAATTTGGAGTTAGCTTCAGAAGAGCTGAACAGTTTGAGGGCCAAAACAATTGACCAACAGAACGTAATTTCAGAGAGCAATAAAGAGTTGGAAGTGACTAAGGCTGAACTGGTCAAAGCACGGAAGAAAGTTGAGGAATATGAGGAGCAAATGCATGAGTTACGTCAAAACCTTGAACAAAGAACCAAGGAGCTTAGAGAAATTGATGAAGAAAGAAAGCTGCTTTGGTCTGCTTCAAAAGAGCAACAGCATGCATTAACACTAGCTGCTGAAAAGGAAAGGGAGACTAGGAAGCAAATGGAATCAGCAATTGTTGTTGCTCATAATTTATTGACAGCGTTTGCTAAATTTGAATCTAGAGTGAATGAAGACATTTCAAGAAATAGCTTAAGGTACTTAATGATTGTGTTAAGTTCCTTCTTTAGTATAATGCCAAATGATTTTGTTATTAACTATTCTTTGTATGGTTCTTATGTCACCTGTGACTTTACCTTCTGGAAATTTGTCAACCATTTTGATTGGCATGAACTTGTTGATTTTCCAAAGGATATCACATCTTGAAAGATATTTTTTTCGGTGAATATTCATATGTCTTGTTTAAATATTTATTCTTTGTGCAATGAAAATTAATTGAAGGGAGCCATTATTGATTTTATGCCCCTTTATTTGTATTTTTTTATGTATACATCACAAGGCTAACATCATGTCTATATATTACTACCTCTTATCCTTAATATATGACCCAGTTGACAAATTTGGGAAAATTAAGGAGGTTATTAAATTACTTTAAACTATTTATATTTATCATTTTATGCCGCTTTGTTTGTACTTTTTTTCTCTTGCCTTTTCCCATTTTATGCTTTGCTTGCCTCTAGTATATGTTACAAGCAGTTTTCTTTCTGCCTTTTGATGCACTCAATTAAGCATTCTTCTAATGATGACATCCTGGGCTAATTCATACGTACAATTTTATTGTCAGGGTCGGAAACTTAAATTCTGAGTTTCAATTTCTTAACGACAAAGCTAGTATGCTTAAAACCATGGGGCTGCTGTACAAACAGAGGCTGGAAATGCGATGTTCTGACCTTCAAAAGGCTGAAGCAGAGGTATATTATCTGAAACATCAGACTTTTAACGCAATCAAGGATATTTCATCTGTTTTCTTTTTTTGGGGTGTGTGTTTATTTAATTGCTCCTAAAACCTGTAACTATCCTTGGTGCTATACATGCCAATTTTCTTGAGTTTGATTATAAAGTAGTTGAAGAAATTCAGAGATCTTATGCTCTGATTCCCTTTGAGAGCTGAATGGTTGGAGTACAAATTGAGGTCACAGTGCTGGGTCGCAACCTTAAAAATGCTAAGGGGATAGCTAATTAGTATTTTAAATTAAAATTAACTTTTCTTGACCAGAAGTCAAGGTCAGGAAAAAGCAATAACAAAAGCCTAAACCTAATGAATAGATAAAAATTTAAAATATGGTTCTTCTATAATAACAAAACTATGAGGCAATAAAAGAACCTAACAAGTTAATGCCTTTTAGGGCCAAGTAAATAGTAATTAATAGCGTTAAAGTGCATTTTTATCCTAAAACTATTTTTGGAGGGGTTATGGGCATTCTAAAGAAAATTGTGGACTAATGTTTTACACAATCTCTTAAATTAAAAAAAGTTTTGCAACCCACACTAATGATTGACTTACCGTTGATTGTTAAAAAAGGGTAATACTGCACCATTTTTTTCCGGGAAAAGTTATGTGCTACAATGCTTTATAATTTTCTCTATGTACTTATAGCTCCTTCGGGAAAAAAAAATTCAGGGCAAAACCTTAGTCCTAATTAATAAAACTAATATTTGAATTGCTGCTAAAGAGCATCTTCTAAAGCATGTCTGTTTGAAGACATTCGTCATGTCCTGTTATACTCAGCTAGGAGCTAATTTTTCTTGCATTTCCAATTTCCCCCAGCCAAGTCTTGCTCGAGTAAGATTGCTAGAACCGGCGACTTCTTCTGAAATGTTTCATTATTCCTTATTTTTCTAGTAATTTTTAAAATTACCGCCATTGTTATTTGCTAAAATGTTTGGTCTCCGAGTGACTATTCCCCACATGTCACCATCAACACAGGCGTCTCATCTCTTGGTCTTGGTTTCCAATTTGCTAGTTCCTGTGTAATTTCCACAAGACCTCCCTTTAGCAGCCTTGTTTATTGATCGTTCCACTGCTTTACACTACTTTTTGGTTGTTTTCACTGTTTTGGTCGCCACATGCCATCAAGGCTGATGTTTCAATTACTGGTTGTGAACCTGAAAGCCCTAGAATGAGTCTCATCTTGCTTTCCTCCCCCCCCCCCCCCTTTTTTTTCTTTTTATTACTTCTGATCTTCAGTGCTTATATAGTTATATTAAATATTATGCTGGAATTTTAGGTTGATCTGTTAGGGAATGATGTTGATGCTCTTGTAAGCCTCCTTGAAAAGGTCTACATTGCACTTGATCATTATTCGCCCATACTGCGCCATTACCCTGGGGTAAGTATCTGTTCCTTTGTCATGCTAAATGTTAATTTTTTCTTCTATAGTCTGTCATTTAACAATAACACAGTTTGAAAGACACCTTAATCATAGGACTCTTATGCTGATCATATTCTCCATAAACCTGTGGTAAGCTAATTGTATCAACATGTTGGATATATACACAATGGTAACCTTTGGTTCATACGATTATACATGTTCCTATCAGACCACCAAAATATCACACATGTTATGATTAATTTTTCAGTAATTGGAAGGTTTTGTGTTGATGAGTTTATCTATCTGGCTTTGAAATGTTAGACGCCTAAACTTCACTCATTCAGTAAGCCAATTTGCTGCAATGAAACATCCCTGGCCGAGTTTGCCATTTTTATCAAGCTTTGCAGCTTCTAGCAAGGGTAAAAAAGTAAAGGGAGAAAAAGGATGGAATGAAATGAGCATTTCTATTTGCATGTGTCATATGAACTAGCCCATATTGAAATGAGTCTCGCAAGTGCACGGAATCACTAGTAGTAATAAATAACATCATACTGCTGGTTTTAGGGTTTTGATTCTTACCACCCATTCCTCCTTAATTATCCATTTCCTTGTTTTGTGCTCTGTCCATTGTTTTTTGCAGGTTATTGAGATTCTGGAACTTGTAAGAAGAGAACTGAGTGGAGAGTCTAAAAAACCCGTTTGATCGTATTGTTAGCCAGGTAAATAGATGGTCTTTCTATTGAAATTTTGTTCTGAAGCATAACCATATGGTCAGTTGATTCGATCTTATTATTTCCTGGATCTATTTCATCCTTACGGAGATGTCATCATGATCTGGCAATTGCATATTTTCTTATTTCATTTCTATGAGGATCTGTGACAATGATATAGTAGCATAATTTAATTAGGTCCCTGCCGTTGCAACCTTTTTTTTCGGTTCTGTTGCACTCTTGTTGATATGCACCTGTAAAACTAACCCATTCCTTTAAATTTGCAATAGATACAGGAGAATAGTTGTACAGTTCGTACAGGAAAAAAGTGCACACTTAATGCGCAGCTGCTGGCTTTGATTCCCCACAAGCAACAAATTTTTGAGGAAAACAAGGACAGGAAAAAGTGCAACAGCTTGTGCAGTGAACGATAAGAAGCTTCATTTTTGTTTTTGGTAGTAGGTACACAAATTTTTGATGTTTTTTCTTGGTGACATTCCAATTTCCATGCACCCGTTCCTTCTAGTAAAACCGCAAACTAGTCTTCCGTTTCTAAAATGCATGCATAGTGCTGTTAGCTTTTCTGGTTCGCTATTGGATTTGTCGTTGTATATGTTCTTTAGTGCATTCTGTAAATTATAATAGGGATTTTCTGGCGGGCTTGTCTATAAATTTGCGTGCGATGTAGGTATGTGTGTATGGACTTCTTTTCCATTTTCTGTTTTATCCGCATAGCATTCGCAATAATCTTTAATCCCACGATTTTCAAACAGATGATATACAAAAATAATGGCTTGCTGCTAGGATCAGCCGGGGAATATGAAAGTGCATAAACGTGAGGGTCCATGGTTAAATTTACCATCGCGAATTCAAATATTAGATAGGTTATTTCCTTGAAACTAGCCTGTCAGATTTACTTTTGTTTTTTCCTAGATTCTTAATTTTAGAATAATGATTTACATTTTGATAACGGACACCAAATTCATATACTTTTTTTTTTTGTGAAAAAAAAAGGACGTTGAAGAGGACAGCCGAGGTGGGCGAACAATGGGTACGAAGTTTTGAATTTTCTCTCACCTCCTGTGTTTTTACGATATATGCTAGTGTTGTTTGTTAAGAGCAATTATAAATAATTACAATTATTTGGTTACAAGAGTAAACCAAAAGCAGCAGTTGGTCGACTAATTAGCCGTGAATATGATCATTAGTAGTGCTTGGAGGTTTAAAAACTTAGTCCAGTCCTGGAAACTCACTAATCAGTAATTACTAGTGGTTGAGAGTGAGACCACTAAATCGAATTAGTATGATTTCGTTGACTGCAGTGGAGTCCATCCAAACTTGAATGATTTGAACCTGATCCCCCAACTGATCATTACATAATACAAGCACACACAGCGGCATGAATTGGCATGATCGCTGCCCAACACAATCATTGTAGTGGATATTTGATATTTCGTCGTTCTGTTTTATAGCCAGGAACAGTAGTCAAAGCAAAAACTCCAGTCCTAAACAGGAAATCCCATTTTCGCACACCTTCCTGTTCCTCAGTGTTGTTTTCATATATTAATAACCAATATATAAACTATTTGACTAATTTGAGTAAATTAAAAAAATTGTTAAATTCGCTTTTTGTTATAAATATATGTTATTTTTTGTAATTTTTTTTACTAATTATGTGTATTAGTTAGAAATATTATTTGATAAAACATTTAATATATACAACTATTATAAGGACTATTTTAAAAAAATAGATAAATATGAAAGAAAAGTAGATTATGGTCTTATATTTAGAGTCAAATTAAAAGTATTACCTCTGGTTTTTAATATGAGAGTTAATTGACTGATTTAAGTAGATTAAAGTTTTTAATATAAAAATTAATTGACTAATTTAAATAAATTAATATTGTTAATATCAAAGTTCAATGAGAGATAAAATTTGGGTCTTATAATCCCATTAATCCTAAACAATTTAGTATTACAATCCAAATTAAACCTGCGACTTCCTTTATTATTTATAAAAGGGAAAACCATATTTAAAGTACCTATACTTTTTTTCAATTTTCAATTTGGTACCTATATGTTTTTTGTTATTAACTAAATCTTTATTTTTCCTCTATTAACATCATTAATTTTTATGTAGAGACTAAAAATATCAATAGAACAAAGTTATAAGAGCTAATGTTGCTAAAAAGATAAAATTAAATATTTAATTAAAGAGAAAAAACACATAGGTACCAAATTAAAAATTGAGAGAAAGTATAGGTACTTTCAATATAGTTTTCTCTTTATAAAAAGCGTTCACATGTTACTCTTCCCGTTTAAATAAAAGATTTACTATAAAATAAATAGGTTTTATATTTAGGATATTTAATTTATACTAAAACATAAGTTTTATATTAGAATAAAAACGTATAAGATCATAAAATCATCTCGAAAGTCCGAATCTGACTCTGAACAGAAAAGGGGAGGAAATGGAACAGTGGGTACGGAATTGGATAAGACAACATAAAGCTTTTTATAAAGGGAGAAGATGGGCAGCTTTGTCCTCCCGAAGGAATAATTGCATCCTGCCCCTCCTCTTCCGGACAATCTCACGTGAACCCCTCATCCCTCTTGTCTCCTTCATTATAATCCTTCTTCAATTGACCCCCCACAACTCATCATTAAAAATAAAAAATAAAAAAATTCACGCCCCCGGCATCTCTTTTAATATTTGAAAGCTAATCTTGAAATGAAAATATGAAAATTTAAAAATAAATTATTCTATTTCAAATTTAATTATGTTCATGTACATTAAAAATATAAAGAACGACTTATTTTAAATTAAAATTTGGCCAACAACTGCTATATTACAATGTGCTATCTTTATGCGTATTAAAACACATCAACAAATTTTTATAAGTTTTTCATACTTGGATATTGATATTAATGATTTAAAATAAGGTGCTAACATTTATAAGCTGTAATTTTTTTTTTGGTCTATGTACGGTTCAAGAGGAAGTCCTATTAAAACATTTTTTCCTTCTCAAAATAATGAGCATGTGAACAAATATTTTCCTTTTTCAAGTAGCTAATTTTTGAGTCTTCGGCCTAAATTCATTTTTTCTATTGAATCATTGCAAATATTAATATGAATATAAAATATATAATCTATAACAAACAATAATATTTATAAGCAACGGGTAATGTTGATTACGTTGAACCTATAATTCTACGTCTAGGCACCCAACAATTCTGCTGTTCATTGACTGCAGGAGTATCATTACTGTTATCTCTCGTTTTTAATATAAAAGTTTGTTTGATTTTTATTTTTATATTAAATATAAGACCTCAATCTATCTTATCTCTTATATTTTTTTTTCAAGATAGTCCTTCTAACATAATAGTTCTAACTAATATTAGTAAAGATATTTTAGAAAAGACAATACTTATTTATTACAAATAACTAACTTAACTTCTTTTCTTAATCTCTTTAAATTAGTCAACTAACTCTTATAAATAGAATCGAAGGTAGTATTTTTTTTTTTGGTGAGAAGAAGTATTCATTCATTCAAAGTAAACCTTTCAAAAAGGAGTCTGTCGTTAAAAACCCAAAAATCTCCTTATTGCTCGTGAACAGCAGAATTGGTGAGAATTATACGTAGACCTTTTTTTTTGGCCTCAAGAATTATATATATAGACTGATGGACACACTTTTAAAATAAAAATGAAAATTGTCGCTGTTGCATTATCCACAGTTACACCGAAGTGCCAGTTGTGTAGCGTCAGATATCAGACTTCTTGTAGGACAGTAGGAGGTACCCAAAAACGACGTAGAAGAAGAAGCAGTTTGATGAAAATGAAATGAGCTATTTTGTATTTTCTATCTGCTCACTAGAAAATAACACCGATAACCCCATGTTCTGTATTCTGCTATTCCTGTAGTTTATTTTTTAAGAGCTTCATTGCCGGAAGCATCTCCGATTTTGTGGCATCTTCTTCGGTTTCCAAAATCTCCGGCAAGCAAAGTTGTTATCTTTACTGTGATACATACACGCTGCATTGCCGCCGCTTCTTCTCCTTTTGTTCCTAGACTTCACCTTCACTCAGATCTGGGAAATCGCTGTGGTTGCTGGAGACTGATTCGGATAAGCAAGAGCTTGAGGTGGGCTTTCACTTGCATTTACTGTTGTAGCTTACCCGGCGTCCCAAGGGTAAATCCATATGCCATAGATGATTTTTCCTGTTTCTATGGACTTGATTTGCTTGTTCAAAGTCTTCAATATATGGGGTCACTGTGAATTGGGAGGGTAGGCTTTGTGGGCTTGTGCTGATTTTACTTTCTCTGGTACTCTACTGGTTTCTGCATCCCCATTGAGATTTGCTATTGTTTCCAAGTTATCCTTGGGGAATGGCCATGACGGGGAGGGTTTTAGTTGAGGGACTTTCCCTTGTGCTGAATCTAGCGATAATCTCAGTGATCCTTCCCACTGGGGAAGCTCAACCAAAGTCAATTTTTATTAATTGCGGTTCAAATTCTTCCGTGAATGCTGACGATAGAAGATGGATTGGGGATTTGGCCCCTAATAATAATATTACCCTTAGTTCTCCTGGTATTGCTGCTTCCGCCTCTGCATTGAATGGGAATTCATCCTTTGACCCTCTCTACAAAACCGCCAGGTTTTTCACTGGTGCCTACAATTACACAATTAAAGGCGTTCAGGGAAACCATGTTGTTAGACTCCATTTCTGCCCGTTTTTGTTTGAAGACTACAATGTAAATGAGTCCTCATTCAATGTTGCGGCCAATGGTCTGAAACTACTGGCGGAGTTCAATGTTCCTGGAGAGATATCACACAAGAATATGTACTTGCAGAATTCTGGAAGCAATTCAACTTCATTTTTCTTGATTAAAGAATATATTCTTGCTGTCAATTCAGATGTGCTTGTGATTGAACTCGTCCCAACAAAAAGCTCATTTGGCTTTATCAATGCCATTGAGATTGTCCCAGTTCCAGATGAGCTTTTTGTTGGCTCTGTCAATAAAGTTGGTGGAGGTGATGCAAGTTTGAATTTGATTGGACGGGGGATGGAGACCATGTACAGGTTGAATGTTGGTGGTCCCAAAATCACATCCAATGAGGATAAAGATATATGGAGGACTTGGGAAATGGATTCTGGCTACATGATCATAGAAAGTGCCGGGTCAGGAATAAAGAACCATTCTAATATAACATATGCTTCAATGAATGATTCTTCAGTGGCTCCTCTCATTGTGTATGAGACTGCAAGTACAATGTCCAACACTCAAGTCTTGGAGAAAAGGTTTAACATGTCATGGAAGTTCGAAGTGGACCCTGATTTTGAGTATATGATCCGACTACATTTCTGTGAGCTGGAATTTGACAAGGCAAATGAGAGAATTTTTAGGATCTATATAAACAACAAGACAGCGGCAGATAATGTTGATATTTTTGTACGAGCAGGAGGGATGAATAAAGCATATCACCAGGATTATGTAGATGGTGTGTCCTCAAGAATCAACACACTATGGGTTCAGTTAGGTCCTGATTCAGCTGCTGGTGCTGCCGGAACTGATGCTCTTTTAAATGGGCTAGAAATTTTCAAGATTAGTCGAAATGGGAATCTGGCCTATGTAGAGAGATATGGTTCAGCTGGCAATTCATCTAGTAAATCAAAAACACAGATTCTTTGGTTGGGAATTGGAGCAGGTCTAGCTTCTATTGCCATAGTTACATTAA